TAGCCTCTCTGTGCCTCTGTTTCCTCATCTGTAGAGTGGGGATACTAAACAGTATTTTATCGGGTCATTGCAATAATTAAATAAGTTAGTACATGCAAAGCATCCTTCCATGGGCCAGTCAAAGCATCTCTGCAGAGAGAGGCATAGATGCCTTTGACCATCAAAGATGGAAGCATCAAACACCCCTCTGCACTCCCAACTTGATTCTGGTTTGTCCAGAAGGTTGAAAATCTCCCACTCCATGTATTTTATCGGGAATGGCTTAGGTGCATCTACTTCTATACAAGAAGGAGGGCTCGGAAGGTTTCCTGGACCAAGGTTTCATACACTTCCATACTTCCCTGAGATTACCGTGGGAAGGCAGATTGGATTTCTAAAATACCTCCCCTGTGACTTTATCCTCTTCCTTTTGGAAGTGCCCAGGCCTAAATCAGGCTATAAAATCCTCTGACTTCTTTTTTTCTTTCTTTAAAAAATCCTTTATGTCAAGAGAGCAATGCACCATGGAATAATAATGACCAGTTATCTCCAGGGAAAACACTCTCCCCAAGGAAGCGCAAAGAGGAATAATTAACTTCTATGTCAAAAGAGCTCACTCAATTAAGAGGCAAAAGGGATTGACAGCAAACACTGATCCATCTCCAGCCATCCATTTGTAGTCCAGTTAGTACCACAAATGAGACCTTAAATGTATGTGAAAATGATTCGCAGACTCCAGGGGCTGATAGCTGAGTTAATCATGCCTGTTCTAGAGTGAGAGGCAGCCATCAGTCCCACATATCCATTGAGCACCTACTCGATTCTGCATGGTGCCAGGAACCACAGAGTAAGTCACGGCTCTTACTCAAGGGTATGACAATCTCAGTGGTGGTAAATGTAAAGCATATTTAGGAAAAGAGAGTTGCACATTGCTTTTTCAATGGTGCAATTTTCCGAACAACCCTCTCGATATGTTTTACATAGACCATCTCACATAATTTTTAAAACCCTAACCAATTTCCATAGGTAAGGGAAACACTTAGGGACTGCCTGCTTGCCCATATCCATGTCATTCAGGAAGGTAAACCTTGGCCTGATGCTCAAGCCTGTGCCCTTAACCTCTTAAAGCACATGGTCTTTGGGGATGACTTGGGTTAATCTTTTATATCTGTGAGTATCTCATATCTTAGGAGAGGAAGCTGATTCCTGAGAACAGAGCAGTAAGGATTCTAAATGGGGTGGGAGAGGGTGGGGAATGTGCATGAAAGGGCACCTAGGATTTAGGGGCAGGGGTAGATTCCTGTAGCAGGGGTAAAATTGGGCATGGGTGAGACCAAAAAGAACTCTGACCCAATTAGCAGTAGTGGGAGCACGAAAGTCTGGTGGGGCCATGGAAAGAATATGGGGTTCCTTCTCACTCAGCCCCAGTTCAGCTGTTGCTGTCTGTGTGAACTTCAGCTAAGGGCTGGAAACTACAGCCCCGGGGCCAAATCTGGCCCACTGCTTGCTTTGGTAAATAAAGTTTTATTGGCACACAACCATGCCCTTTTATGTACATCTTGTCTGTGGCTGCTTTTGTGCTATAAGGGTGGAGTTGAGTAGTTGTGAATGAGACCATGTGGCCTACAGAGCTGAAAATATTTATTGTCTGCCTCTTTGCAGAAAAAACTTTGCTGATCCCTGTCCTAGATCAACATACGTAGCACAGAATGGGGGCAGACAGAATTTGTGCGGGACGGTGTAAAAGGTCTCAGGCTTGAGAGTTGGGCTCTGACTGATGTGTCCCTGCTGGTACCTGTGATGCTACATGGTGCCCTGACTTTCTCATATCCTCTCCCACCACCCTCCCACCTCCTCACATACGTATCGTAGGAGGAGCTTCAGGAAGCATTCAGGGTAGACTGAAAGTCATAACAGGAATGGAGTTCCTACCGCGTACCCAGATCTATAGCACCTGAGCCTGACAAGATCACATCTGCCTTGTCTTCACGGCCACCCTGCAGGGTGGATGATGTATTTCCTAGTGAACAGGTGAGATTCTGATGTCAGCAGAGTTGGGATTTAAACCTCAGCCAACTCAACCCCCAAGAGCCTGTTCTCAAAAAAGACAATCCTGCAGCTTCTGCAAAGGGGTTTTCAAAAATGTGTCTCGTCTTGCTCAAGGATTTGGAAGAGAGAGCCACATTCTGGATCTTTTGGTGGCTTTGGTGCTGTTGCCCACCCTCATCCTCCTCCAGGGTCCTTCATCCCCCTCCAGAATGGTCCATCCTACAAAGAAGATGGTCCTCTTCTATTTCTAACCCTCAAACCCAATTTTCCCCCTTGCCTTTGTCCCCTGCTGTGGCCCTAAATGGTAGATGGGAATTAGGCTGGGCGGGCAGGTGTGACTGATGGAGGCTGCCATTCTTCAGTCTTCCTGCTTGTCCCCCTTCGGGTGGGAGCCAGAGGCCACACTCCTGGGCAGGGCACTGGCTGACATCGCAAGGTCCAGCATCACTCTGGTTTTCAGCCGTTTCCAACATCTTACTGAGGATGCAGAGGGTGACTCTGAGAGAATGGGCAGTACAGACTCGAGCCGGTGTGCTACTGACCTCAATGTAGCTGAGCAATTCCCTCTTTCCATCTCTTCCTCAGCCCCCCCAAATGTGTATCGGGCACTCCTCTGCCCTCCTCTGATCCGTCTCTGCTGAGGGCTCTTGACTCCTCCCTTGGCCTGGAAGTCTGTTGGTTGGGTGACCCCAGCTTGCAGGCCACAGCTCCTGGGGGCTTCATCTCCTGTGCCAGGCTCTGACATGCTAAGCTGCCCTTGTGTCTCTCTAGTTGATTTCCAACTCATCTCATTTGAGCAGAAAGCATTTCTGCTTGGTTGCTTTTCTTGACCAGAATGACTAAAGTCATTCTGTCCAATATGTCCTGCTGATGCTGCATAAATCCAGGCCCAGCTCAAGGGGGAGGGTGGGAGAGAGAAGAGGACAGAAGGTGACGAGACTTCAGCACGTTGGCCTGCTGCTGCTCTGCACTGTTCCTGGCTTGCAGCTCAGAAGACACCTGCAAGCATCCTCATTTGCACGACCAGTTAAGGATTGGTCCCCTCTGCATACCATGTGGAAATTCACACATGAGCAAGCTGTGCCTGTGAGCCTGTCCCTCTCATCTGTCAGGCTGGCATCTGGGGCCAGAGTCTGGTCATCTTTTGGCTTTATCATCTTGCTCCTTCTG